AGAACAGCTTAGAAAGAGGGAAAAAGCCATCACAGGCCAAGAGCAACTCAGCCAAGAGCAACACAGGCCAAGAGCAACTCAACTTTGGTGCCATGGTGGCACCAAAGGCACTCATCCGATCGATTTCTCAATCGGTAGAAGCCCTTGGTTGACGGGAGAGGAGGGTGGTGCCAGCAAAGGCTGGAGGAGACATGGCGACTCTCTTGCCACAAACTACCATCACTCGCAACTCTGGTTACCAGGAAGAATGCTGCTGGATAATGGCGGATGTCACCGGGGGCCTCTGAGACCAGAAGGGTACAGTTGGAGTCGTGTAAGGTGGGAGGGGGAGAGGGAAGAGGAGGGAGATGAGGCACCGTGAGAGTTGAAGAGACAGACGACGATAAGAGATGAAGTGAGAAAATGGTGCTCATGGTAGTTCAGTCTGCACAGTTAAAGAAGGTGCAGATTCCTCTCTCGCAGCCTCTTGTTTGTAATTTATTTCTGCATCCCTTCCTCCCTGTGACGCAGACTCAGTTGTTATCTGAGACCCGCCCCCCCCCAAATTTAAGAGGTGCTTAGGGGCAGGCTTATTTTCTTTATTCCCTCAATATTGGGAAGTAGACTCAGCACCGCTGTTTTATATAAGTCTGGTGGCTGAAAAAACATGCTGTCGGGAGCCAAATGTGCTTGTTATCTATGACCTTACTTTAGATAATTCCAGAAGTGTGAACGGAAAATAAAAAAAAGTATGTGGACACTTACCTTCTTGTGATGCAAACGTCTCTTTTAACTTTTCATTATTAAAATTTTCAAATAAACACCAAGATAAAGAGACTAGTACCTCCCATGTACCTGTCCCATGTGCTGGGGACACATATACCCGTCACCCAATTTCCATAATTACCAACATTCTGCTGTCTCTGACCTCCCCATCTCCTCACATCATAGAACTGTATCTAGAAAGACATCAAAAGGTACCTCTAACAGATAAAGGGCTTTGTTTTTAAACATAACCATGTACTAATATTGTACCCAAGAAGCTTAAAAATAATGCTTTAATGCCATCAAATACTTGGTCCATGCTCAATTTTCCCTCTAAAAGTCCATTTTAGGATCTGGAGATCTTCACTAGTGTCTGAGTCTCGGTGTAAGCACAGGAGTGGAGTGTTTTCAGCCCTTTTGCGGGGAGGATGAGAGGTAAAAGAGGAGGCTGGAATCCTCGCTGTATTTGAAATTCTGCTTGTGACTCAGAGTTGCCTCAGGCAATTATTTCTCCTTTTTATGCCTCAGATTAGCAACCTTTTATCTCAATGGGTTAATAATATACCTCCAGAGAATATTCTCAGTTTAAAGCAGAGAAAGTCTTTTGAAGGCTTCAGATATAAAGTTTTTTTTGCGTGATCACACAGAATTATCCTATCCTCATTTTATTCACTCAATAAACAAATCGTCATTCCATTTCTGCCTATTGTCCCTCTGTTCCTGTTTGTTGATTGGTTTTCTCATTCAGTGTGTTTACTACAAACAGGTGCAAAGCACTGTGAGGGCCTCAGGTTAGTCACTGCTAATTATTTGACTCAGGCACTGTGCTGGGTTCTTTACACAGGTTATTTAGTTTATCCTTCACTACATCCCTCGAGGTAATTTTTTGAACCCCATTTTATAGATGAGGAAATTAAGTTCTAAGAGGTTAAGTAACTAACACAAAAACAGTCACCCAGTAAGTGGCAGAGAGGCGTTTTTGCCTTTCCGGTTCTGCCTGTCCAGAAACCCATTTAACATCATCCCCGAAGTGAAAGGCAAAAGCTAAGGAGCAGAGCACTGACTGGTGCCACCGTTTTCTCTGTCCTTAGGGAGTCCATAACTTTAAAGGGTAAGTAAGACATGTGCACAATATAGTGTACTTTATGATGTGTCAACGTGTGAGTACAAGAAGAATGATATTATGAAAAATCAAAGGCACAAGAAATGACTCTTCATGGGGGAGATAAAATAAGGCTTCATAAGGGACATGGCATTTAACGATGAGGGAGAACAGTGACATAGGTCTGAGAAAGCACGGGACGGTGTGGGAGCTCCATTTAGGCCGGTGGAATACGATGGGAGATAGAACTGGATAGGTAGGTTGAGGTTGAATTTTGAATAGACTCTATTATCAGGCTCACTTGTGTAAAATGTAATTGCCGTGCAGTTAAAAGCCATTAAAAGCTTTCTTGATTCAAGGGAGTAAACTCATCGGAGCTAAATGGTGGAGAGACTGAAGTCGGTGAGCCCAGTTGTGAGACTATGTACTCTGATCCCAGTGAGAAGGAAGGAGCATCTAACAGGGTGGGCAACACGGGGGCTGGAGAGGAGGGGTTGAGTCAGAAAAAGATTGTGGAATATCCAGTGCTAATCTCTGTTAGAGTTATCATTTCATTTCAACTATTATAACTTCCTAAGGCTTTTGGAAGCATTTTTATAACAATTAAGATAAGATTGACACACCATTACAACTCATCCAGTGAAAGTATACAATTCAACGTACATGTCAGCGTTTTTTAGTACATTCACAGAGTTGTGCCAATGTCATCACGGTCCATTCGAGAACATTTTCATCGCTCCAGACGAAACTCAGCTTACTAACCATCCCTCTCCAAACCCCTATCCCTCTTCGGCCCTGAGTCAACCGCCGGTCTATTTCTCTGTGGATTTACCTATTCCGGACGTTTCATATAAATGGAATCATGCGCTGCGGTTTTTTGTGACTGACTTCTTCCACTAAGCATAGTGTTTTCAGGGTTCGCCCATGTCGTAGCCATGTGTCATTTCTTTAAAGGGCCAAATAATATTCCACTCTATGGATAGGCTACATTTTGTTTATCCACGCATCAGTCAATGGCTGAAATTTTAAAAATTATTCTAGAACTTTGCTCCATCACATATTCGTGTGTGAAATAAATGTGCTACTGCAGGGCACTTGTGCATTTGGATTGTATAGCAATTTCTATCTTAATGGCCGAGTTCCTTACCTACATGCCACTTCACAGGCACCGTGCAATGTGCTTTTGGTGCATTATTTCATTTAGTCTCCTTAACAGCCTTGTAAGATAGGTACCATTATGATCCTTCCTTGACAGGTGAGGAGGTTGAGGCTTCTGGAGAGGGCAGGTGACTTGCCAAGCCCTCTTTTCACCTTTAGGGCCTATGCTCCTGACTGCTCTGCTCACTGCCACCAGATAGTCTTTCAAGAGTGCACTTCATGGAGCACATTTCCTAATTCTATAATTTACCACATTCTACTAAATCAGGCAAAAATCGGCAGCATTTCCTGCGCTGGGCTATGGCTGGAACGCTGGTGTGGAAGGCTGGATTCGGTTATTGCTTTTATCCCAGAGGAACTTGCTGGGTTTCAATTTCCTTATCTTTCAAATGAGGGACTTGGAAGAGATAGATGCTAAGGTCTTCGAATCTGTGGCTCTTTCACCAAATTAATTCAAGTATTTGCTTCATCTTCTTATGTAGGATTTAGAACAGGTAGAGCTGACATAAATTACATCCTCCATTTTTCTTACCTTTAGATTTAAATATTTTTCCTGGTGGGCTCAGGGTCTCCGACTGGCTCTGTTTAGCCCTGGAGGGAGGGGGG